TGTTCATCCCCCGGGGCGTAGTTTGCAAACCGAGGTAAATTTTTGCGGACAGAGCTGGTCGTAACCTGAAAAGTTCGTTTACAGAGGCGTTCGTAACCCGAGGTACCACTGTACTTGTCCATACAAAGTCTACGTCTATAGGCAATCCGCTCATAGATGGCAAGTGCAATCAGGTCTTCAATCCATTGACTAAATGGGGCCATACATTTATCTTTCCAGTGTTGCAATATCAGTATTTTGGCCATAGTAAGGGCACAGAGAATCCATTTACATTGTCCGGTTGTCAAATTCAACTATATACCTATATTCTATATTCTAGGTATATAGTTCAAAAGAATATTATCTTCTGAAAATTTAACTTTTGTTGCACAATCATATTTATATAGTCCAGTACTTTATCCCAAAACTTAATAAGTATAGGACATTGTAAGAACATATGTTTTAAAGAGGCATTGTCCTTATTATATCTCCAACAAAATGCTGTTTTTGACAATCCTTTTCTGTATAGACGTAATGGAGTCCTATAAATTCTAAATATTATTTTTTGTTATATAGCTCATAGTTTAAGATCCATTGACACTCTTGCTATAGAAATTAAGACACTCTCCCATTGTCTAGGCAATACAGAATACCTTTAGTATTTTCCAGAGATATTAGAGCTTTAGTGTATTTTGATCCTAATACTGTCCATCCGACCAAAGGTGTTATATATGTAGATTCCAAAGTTGCCCAAATCAGAAAATTAGCACCACTTGTTGGCTTCCAGTATTTAACACTTGTCACTAAATAAGCATGGTGCTATAGCTCCAGAGTTGGAAGACCGAATCCTCCCTCATTAATTGGTAATTGCATTTTCTGTAAAGGTATTCTCGGAATTGAAGAACCCCATAGAAATTTTCTAAACAAAGAATTTATTTTCTGAAAATATTTTCCAGATTTAAAAACTGGAATTCCTCTCAGAATATAAATGAATTTGGAAATAATACCCATTTTGAGAGTGTTCACCTTTCCCCAAAGGGTGAGGTTTAATGACTCCCGTCTATCGATATCTGAAGAAACCTCTCTCTATATTTTATTTATATTACATGTTGCTACCTGAGTTATATCCTTTGGTATAGACATGCCTAAATATTTAATAGATTCGATACAAATACGGAATTGATATTCCTCAAATGAATGGGCAACTGAACTTTATTTGAACAGTTTGAAGTGGGGCTGTCTCTTAACATGCAGTCTTCTCTAGGTGTGTCATTGTTGCTTGCTTTTCTGGCTTCTCGGGTCTGACTCTGTCATAGCAAGAATGAATAAAACATCAGATTTTCCTACCCTAGCCTGCTTGCTTGTCAGGCTGATTCTTTCTGAAGTCAGGCTATGCAGTCCTTGAACACCCCAAAAGACTATTGGAGGGAAGGTGCTGCAGACCCCTGTTCCACAAGCTCTTGCCACACATGACCTATGGGGAAGTCTAAATATATCCCCTCCCATTATATGCAGTAGAAGGGAAATGCTTTATTTAAGGCCAGGAAGAGGGTGAATAAAGAAGTACATTATTTCTTCCTATTTCTATGTTTCTGAGAAAGCTTGAGTGCTTTGATGTCAGAGGGCTCAGATTTTAAGTTACAATGTTCCAAAAGGATCATATTGCATTCTTACTTTTATATAAAGAGATAAGAAAATGTGCATGATATTGTGGAAATTGAATAACTGGGACATTTCAGGAAATCTCTATGACAAAATGAACACTACATACTGTATGCCTGTTTTTGTAGAGGTTAAATATATGAAGGAAAATATTTCTGTGAAATAGTTGAATAGTTAAGAATAAAAATTGCCCGTCTGCTTTGTGTTCACAGGTAGGCAAGTGGCCCACAGTGGAGCTAAAACAAGCGTTGTTGATGTACCTCTAATTGCACCATCCTCTTTAAATTCTACCACGGTGGTTACTACTGTTTATCAGGAGCCCATAATGAGTCAAGGAGCCACACTAAGCAGCGAGTCACAGACTCTGGTGAAGGAGGAGGAAGAGAAGAAGCAGTTAGATGAGGAGCCAATGGACATGGTGGTGGAAAAGCAAGAGGATGCTGACAAGAATATCAGCCAAATATTGACTGACATTGCTGAAGCAAAAATGTCAGAGGAGTTAAAACCAATGGATACTGATAAAGAGAGCATAGCTGAATCAAAATCTCCAGAGATGTCGATGCAGGATGACTGTGGTAGTGATATTGCACCAATGCAGACAGATGAGCAGATTAACAAGGAGCAGTTTGTGCCCGGTCCCCATGAGAAGCCATTATATGCTATTGAGCCAGTGACTCTAGAAGATCTACAGTTACTTGCAGATTTGTTCTATCTGCCCTATGAACATGGACCTAAAGGGGCTCAAATGTTGCGGGAATTCCAGTGGCTTAGAGCAAATAGCAGTGTTGTCAGTGTGAATTGTAAAGGAAAGGATTCTGAAAAAGTGAGTGACTCTTTTATTATCTTTTAGTATTGTGTATGACACAATAACAAAGAAAATATATCTGGCAACTTTAAAGAAAACTTCTGAGGTGAACTCGATGTATAAAGATTTAGGAAAATGTGCATGCAGACAGATGGATGTCCATTGCCTTGTCCTGTAATTCTCTTTCTCAACCTGATGTGCTCCAATACATTGAGCCTACAACTCCCAGAATTCCCAGCTATTATGTTCAATTCCAAACCAATATGTCCAGTTAGAAAAGCCTGTACGAGTTTGTCACACTTTGCATGAATTGCCATCTCCTTGGTTATCCCTAAACCTTGATTAACTGTTGATAGATATGGAAGAGTTAGATGAACATTGAATGAATCTTGAGGGAAAAATAGCAAAATGGATGGAATTAAGTATATATATTTAGTTACTTGATAAAAATGGAATGTAAATACTTGAATAAATTTTAAAATCTTTTGTTAGATTGAAGAATGGCGTGCTCGAGCAGCAAAGTTTGAAGAGATGTGTAGCTTGGTGATGGGAATGTTCACTCGTCTTTCCAACTGTGCCAACCGGACAATCCTTTATGATATGTACTCATATGTCTGGGACATCAAGAGCATCATGTCAATGGTGAAATCTTTTGTGCAATGGCTAGGTATGTTCTTTAGGAACCAATTATAGTGGCAACTAGCATATATGATTGTCTTCAATTAGCCCACGGGAAAAAGACAGTCTATTGAATATAATCTTGGGATCATTTTGAACTTAAATTCTTTTCCTAGTTCTATTCTTGTGCATTATTTATGATTTAATATAAAACTGGTAATAAAAGCACAAGGGAACATATATTGAATATCTCTTGATTTAGATTTTTTTTTTCTTGGGCTAATTAATCTAAAAGTTTATCTCTGAAATATGAGTGTTGACTCAGACTGAATGCACACTGGACTACATCATTTAGTATTTTCAAGCTTATAGCAAAATTGGAAATGACACTATGAAATGTGACCATACCTCAGCTATCTGCTGCTTGCTCTGTTTCAATAATGTTATTGCTGTCTTCAACAGAACAGTTGCAGATGTGACCTTTCACTGGGCTTGGCCAAGAGGGAGCCGAGCCTTCTAGCCTTTCTCTGCGCATGCGAGCTTTAGCATAAGGCTATTCTGGTGCAAAAGTGATTTGCTTTGACACTTGCAAGGAGCCTAATTTTGGGCAAGGGTAAGAAATTACAGAGCTCTGGAGTCTGCTTTTATGCTAGACTGATGGTCTCTGAAGCCAAAACCAAGAGCTTTTTTTTTTTTTTTGTCTGCAGCTTTTTAAAAATTAAATATTTTTGGGAATAGCACCAGCATGGCCTGGGTTCCTCTAGTGACCTCATTTCACTTTCAGGTTTCAATCCAGCTGTAAGGAATATGCTGTGGACTTGTTTGATGTACACAGCAGGCAGCAAAACTGATGGTTTCCTGTCACCATTTCTGTAGTAGTCACAAATGTCTTCATAAGCCCACTGCTCAGTAGTGGATCAACCTACAGTTCTTGGATCACATAAGTCATTAAGATTGTACAAATGGTCATATAAAATAGAATCTTGGGTTGATTGTTAAGATAGCCAACACCTAGAGTTTTTAGCAAAAGTTTGAGAGTTGGGGCAATAGTATGTAGAGTTTTTGTAATGGAAGTAACTTTTCTCAAATAAAAAAGGGAATCATTCCAAGTTAGAGCATTAGAATAGTGCATGTTGTCTACAGCTATGAATAATTTTTTTATGATGAGTTTGTCATCTTTTGCTTCCACTTTCTTTGTGGACTATGCTTAGAGGTCATTGGTAACTTCCAGGACAAGAATAAAAAAATAGCATCAGGCAATCCTTATTGACTTCAAGAGTATTTCTCCTATTATAAAGTCAAAAAGAGATATACACATTAGAAATAGTTCCAGCTACACAGCTGGATAAACAAAGTTATCCTTTGACCACTCATTAAACGTTGTCAGCTAGCTTGCTAGGGCAAGAACAGCACTGCATGGTTATGTAAACTAAAGTTATGATTTCTGTTCAAGCTGAAGTTTAAAGTGTCTCTACAATCATTTTATTGGATTCAGTGACAAACTAACCAAGTCAAAAGAGTAGACCAGTTAAACCAAAGATAAAAGCCAAACTTTTTCTACAAATATAACAAAGGCCCATATACGGGACTAGAAATATAAAATTTCCATACAGAATTGTATAATTGAGGGGGACCACATAGATCAGCTAATTCAACCCCCTGCTATGTGCAGGAAAATCAGTGAAACCATCTATAAGAGATGGCTGTCCAGCCTCTTCTTTAAAACCTCCAGGGATGGTGAACCCACAGCCTCCACAGATAGACTGTTTCAGCTTCTAAATTGTCAGAAATACAAAGTAAACAATTAGGAGTTTAACATGTATCTCCTGGTGGTAGGAGTGGGCAGTTGCTTAAACTGAATATTCAGTTTTGTTTGCCTTGTTTGCTTTAACTTTACAAAACTTTAAACCTTACAATATTAACTTGTATACCTTATCTAAGCTGGCAAATCTATGCTGCTCATAGCATATTGTATTTCATAAGTACAAATACAGGCATACAACAAGTCATGGTATCACTATGTAATATGGAAACAGTGACATTGTTTCCATAGGGCAGAATTTGAGGTAGAAATCAGTGGAATGAGCATAGGATTCCAAAATATAAGGCAGCTTGCTTACCATATTTGAAGTAACTGAAAAGTACACATTACCTTCTAAATAGGAGGAGCTGGGAGGCTGCGTGGTCATTAAATCAAGACTCTAAAGTTACCTAGCAGTCATTTTCTCAATGAACTAAGTATGTTGTCCTATTTTTCTGTGGAACTCAGCCAGACTGAGAGTTGTATACTTGTAATAGCAAGTAACATAGGTTTTCAAGCCATTAATTGATTCTTGAAATAATTTTGCTTTTAAATTAAATCCAAAAGCTTAATAAACAAAATTTAAAATAAATAAATGAAATCCACTAAAATATACATATTTTATATTTTAGCCATACAAATTGCTTCACTTGGTGCTCCCTTGACAGTAATTGATCATCAGTTCAGTGCATTTCATGTTCTACTGTACACTTTAACCCCACAGTTTCTTCAAAGATAGTGAATTCTGACTGATACTGATGGTTGAAATAATGATTTTTAGTTGATATGATTTGTATAATAAAACATACATTATTAGATATAACAACATATAAAATACAATATACAAATTTAAATCAGAACAGTTTAGTATCATTAAATGTTAAAATGCTTAGTGGTCCACTGAAGGCTGATTTCCTTACTTTTTCTTGCAATCCAGCTAGCATTCAGTTTATATAACTAGCGTAGATAATACTACTATGGATTACTAATGCCTTCTACTGTCTTCTTCCCCAATGTGTGCAGATGGGAGAATCTTCAGCACAAGTGTCTACTGCTATTGGATGGACCACGCCAGATGCTTTCAGCGTGTCGTGATTAATAAATTTAAGATGGGAAAGTTCTGATTGTGAGGCAGTTCAGATTAGGGTAGTAGGCATGGGCTGAAGTCACATTTGCGCAGCGACTTAGGCATTAACTTTTGATTTTCATTCATACAGCTCTTCATTCATGCAGCTCTATAAAATGTACAATAGTTGAAGTGCTAGTTACAGCGTAATCTCAAAGGAGAAATATTTCAAGTTACCTGTGAAAGGGTACCGTATAAAGTCTCTGTATATGAGAGACTGGCAAATAGAAGCAGTTGAAGCTCAAACTGGGCTCTTTGGGTCACTTCAAGCTTGCTGTGTTAAAGGCTTGCTTTTATAATTTGATACCAAGCAACAATATCTAGTTTTATTCGCTTTGAGACTGCCTGGCTAGCATGATGTGTGTGACTACTGATCTGAGATTGTTACTTGAACAGGAAGTAGATCGCTGTCCACAAGAAGAAACAAACTTGCGCAGCTTATCTTATCAGAAAACTAGATGGTCATGTACTCTTCGCATCAATTATTCAGCTGCCTTATCTCCTCTTTAAAATCTTAATTATACTGATTGGTTTTCTAATTAGTAAACAGAATTGTCCTCAGAGTTGAGTCATCATTTAAAATTTACAGCCTCCTCCTTAATTGTGCAGAAAATTTAAAAGCTGGCTGTCAGAAATTGTGGCATTTCTGACATAACTGTGGGTGTGTCAAATAAAATGTTCTGACTGTAACTGAAGCCATCGTTGCCTTTCTTGGTAATGAGTTATATGTCGTGTTGTGTGGTTGCAGAAGTAGATAGTGTTGGTCTCTAATCTCTGAAAAAGAGGCTTTTCTTCCACATAGCTGTTTGGGCTATATTATCCCATACCAGACCTAGTTTTCTGGCAAGATTCAAACCACATGAAAATGTGACTTCAGACAGGTCCAAGTATTTTTAAAGGGCTGTGGTAATGGCTAGTTACTGTACATCCCTTACTGGGTGAAACTAGGCATTTGTTTCCTTATATGTTGTATATTTCATGTACCTGTATGAAATGGAGCATCTTAGCAGCTTTTAGCAGTAGTAAACTGTCTGCGCTCTAAGGCTATCGTTGTAACATTCTTTTGATTTTATTAATAAGAACACAAGCACCATATGAGTAGGAAGCTATGTACTGTGCAACATTATTACAGCCCAGCAAGCTCTTGGATTATAGCTCAGTTAGAGAGCTTTTCCCACAAAGTGTGTGTTAGCTTGTTGGACATTTTAGTATCTCAGGACAATCCCCCTTCTCGTAACGTTCTCCGCTTGGATCTGATCTCCACAGGGTGTCGTAGTCAATCTTCAGCACAGTTCTTAAGTGGAGACCAAGAACCCTGGGCCTTTAGAGGTGGTCTAGCAGGAGAGTTCCAGGTATCAATATGAATTCGCAACTGAATGACATTGTCTTTGTTTGAGAAATCTTTTATTGCGCATCGGAGGGCTGGAAGGCTTGGTCTGCCGAAGGCTTTCTGGTTCAAAACCCAAATAGCCCGACAGCTTGTTTTAAAATAATTTTCCTCCCATTTCTACAGTAATATCCCAAGGAGATGCTGCCATTCCCACGCGCCTGCGAAGCGCAGCGGCTTTAGTTGTACATTTCACATTGTTTCTTTGCAGGTCGCACAGCGTTTTTATCTGCGCCCGCAATTGCACAATGCGCGCCTGCTTGTCTTCCAGTGAGAACTCCATGAGCAAAGAGATTGTGATACAGTGTAGTTAAGAACTCTTTCAAAGCAAACGTTGTTTGTGTACTTGATAAATCAATTGGCGAATCAGTTTTAAAAGTTGATTTGTTCTGTGTTTGAATTTGCTCATGGATTTTTCAGGGGCTTACTTTCTTCCCCCTCACAGGTGCTCTCTGCGCACAGCCAATTGAGTCAGCACGTTGTTTTGGGTTAGTGTCTCTGGCCAGTTAACCCTCTTCAGACCAAACCTTTCCTCCTGACACATGGCTATCTTATGCTGAGAACATAGATGAGATTTGGCAAGATAATGCTAAAGAAAAAAATGAGTTTAATGTTAAGTGCTGTAACAGTTGTGTATCTTAAACTTCTATTCAGATAAAATGGTCCTTACGTATGTAAAGCCTGCAAAACCCTATCTTCCTCTGGGGTGCCTGCAGTACCAAAAGTTATCTTGGGAGTCTGCAGTGCACACCCAAGAATGTTTTGCATCTTGCTTCTCACTTACATTAACTTTTTATTTTCACAGCGTTTGCTGCCTATTGAAGGAGCAAATGACCTCTTCTTTCAGCCCCCTCCTCTGACTCCTACTTCCAAAGTCTACACCATCAGACCCTATTTTCCTAAAGATGAGGTAACCTAAATTCTTTGGTGGTCTTATGCAAACTTGATGTTTGAGAGAGTATCTTGGTCAAAACAGCTGTTTCCTTTCCTTTTTCAAGAGTCAATCTTTTGAATGCCTGGGAAAGATGTGACTCAAATAGGAAAGGTTATTATTGAAGTAAGTTTCAGTAATTCACTCCAGGTTCATTGTAAATCGCATGTAGCCCTGGCATTACTTAAATCAATATTTTCCCAAATTGTAGAATATAGTTAGCTTGCTATTATTTCTAAAAAGATTGTAAATAACTAACATACTTTTGACCTTGATAATATTTGAAGTTAAACAGGGACACTGAATGTGCTGAACTCAAGTTCTTTTTTTGACAAATAAGACCTGAATTAATGTTGAAGAAGGAATATTAATATTGAATGTAATATGCTTCTTTATAGGTATATGAATAAATTCAAATTTCAAATAGTTTCATTTAATAAGCCAATTGATTCCAAGAAAAATATTGCATTTTGTGTAATTGTTTTATATTGATAGCACCAAATAATGATTTTATACATATATATGCACATGCACATGTAAACACACATAAACATGAAAAGGTGTTTGTATACATACAGCATGCATATCAACTGTTACCCAATTCAGATAATCATTTCTTCTAGTAATTTGAATCAATTCAAAATTTGTATATCTGATTGAAACAGATGCCTGAATCAGAGCTTCACATACCTCTAATATGTCTGAAAACTATCCATGTCTGAACTAATTGTGAGTTCTGTAATCTGGGAAACTAATGTAGAGTTGTACATTAATATCCTTCCGGTTCTGTCCAATGGATTTCATTGCTGAGTGGGGTTTTGAAGAGTAATTTTCTGACTACAAATCCAACTTAATTTTCACTACATCCCATTGTCAGTAATTGCAGTATCTATGAAATATGAACTGTTATGGAGCAATGGTTCTAATAAATGAGCATGCCTGTTTCATTTTGGAATGACTCCCAAAGAAAAATAACATGCTGTCATGGGAAGTTAAATGTAATTTTTTATGTACTGTGTGTCTTTAGGCATCAGTGTACAAGATTTGTAGAGAAATGTATGATGATGGAACTGATCAGCCTTTTCACAGTCAACCAGACCTAATTGGAGACAAGTATGTATTACTTTGACAGAAATTCAATTGATATATTCTATTTGTATAGCATTACTATACCTCTTGCTATCTAGAAATGTAATACAGTGGTACCTCGGTTCACGAACTTAATCTGTTCCACGATTCTGGTCACGAACCGAATCAAATTTCCCCATAAGGTTCAATGTAAATAAGG